CAATTTCACAATAAACCATATTTATCTATATACCTTAACTTAACTTACTTTCAAACGTTTTATCTAAAATTGAGCTTGAACATTATTATATTTTTTTTAATAAGTGGCTTTCTTCTATTGTCAATCAATTTCACAATAAACCATATTTATCTATATACCTTAACTTACTTTCAAACATTTTATCTAAGATTGAGCTTGAACATTATTATATTTTTTTTTCTAATAAGTGGCTTTCTTCTATTGTCAATCAATTTCACAATAAACCATATTTATCTATATACCTTAACTTAACTCACTTTCAAATATTTTATCTATGATTGAGCTTGAACATTAATATATTTTTTTTAATAAGTGGCTTTCTTCTATTGTCAATCAATTTCACAATAAACCATATTTATCTATATACCTTAACTTAACTTACTTTCAAACATTTTATCTAAGATTGAGCTTGAACATTATTATATTTTTTTTTTAATAAGTGGCTTTCTTCTATTCTCAATCAATTTCACAATAAACTATATTTATCTATATACCTTAACTTACTTTCAAACATTTTATCTAAGATTGAGCTTGAACATTATTATATTTTTTTTTTAATAAGTGGCTTTCTTCTATTGTCAATCAATTTCACAATAAACCATATTTATCTATATACCTTAACTTAACTCACTTTCAAACATTTTATCTAAGATTGAGCTTGAACATTATTATATTTTTTTTTAATAAGTGGCTTTCTTCTATTGTGAATCAATTTCACAATAAACTATATTTATCTATATACCTTATCTTAACTCACTTTCAAACATTTTATGTAGAATTGAGCTTGAACATTATTATATTTTTTTTTTAATAAGTGGCTTTCTTCTATTGTCAATCAATTTCACAATAAACCATATTTATCTATATACTTTAACTCACTTTCAAACATTTTATCTTCTATTAGTAATTCATTGGGTGGGATTTTTTTCCTCCATAATTTCAGGTATGCGAATGATATGCGATATATCGCACATTGTTCGCCGTGCTGCGAATAAAGGTTGGCAGGTTGCGTCTTTTACACTCTCAATTAAATGACAGTCTTCGGCGCATTAAAAACATTTTTTTTTTTTTATTTTACGTAGTATATGTTTTTAAACAAATATGTGAAACAGAATGCAATTTACTGTCAAAACGTTATGCGACTGAAATGCGATTTTGAAAAGTCCCTCCGAAACGTCCCCTCAGTCTTTGGCAAATTAATAACGGCGCGCGTATCAAGGAGGATAGATATCTTCTTTAACCAGATATGCGAAATCATTTATTGTAAGTACGTTATGCGAATGAAGTGCGATTCATCGCATTTTGTTCGCAGTGCGAATTTGAAGAGTCGCTCCGAAACGTCCCCTCAAGTCCTTGGCAAATTAATAACTGCGCGCGTATCAAGGAGGATAGATATCTTCTTGATTAACCAGATATATGCAAAATCATTTATTGACATAAAGTTATGCGAATGAAGTGCGATTCATCGCATTTTGTTCGCAGTGCTGCAAATTTGAAGAGTCGCTCCGAAACGTCCCCTCAAATCTTTGGCAAACTAATAACGGCGCGCTTATCAAGGAGGATAATTATCTTCTTTAACTAGATATATGCGAAATCATTTATTGTCATATAGTTATGCGAATGAATTGCGATTCATCGCATTTTGTTCGCAGTTCTGCGAATTTGAAGAGTCGCCTCTTCTCCGAAACGTCCCCTCAGTCTTCGGCAAATTAATAATGGCGCGCGTATCAAAGAGGATAGATATCTTCTTCAGTCCTCTATAAAAGGCAACTGAGATGAGATAATTGAATTAGGATCAGGACCCATCTCCCAATTCTATAACACTCGATTTTCCTCAACATGCCGGTCAATGTAGTCTTCAATGATGGCATATTGAGGAAAATCGAAGGTTGAAGAATTGAGAGATGGGTCCTGATCCTCCTGTTGTCTTTGAGGGCGTGCTCCCTTTCACCGTCGTAGCCTCCTCAATCTAGTATACCTCGGAAGTCCAAGCACTCACCCTGAAGATCCCACGTCTGCCCAGGCACATGGTCACCTCTCATTGAAAGCTAAAAACATTAGAAACTGATGAAAAAGCTGTTGGAGACCATGTGTTTGGGAAGACGTAGAATCTCCGGCGAATTACTTAGTCTTCCGGGGTTTACTAGATTGAGGCGCCTACGACGGCGAGAGGGAGCACGCCTTCAAAGACAAAGGTTCTTGTTCTTCCGGGGTATACTACTTTTTTTTATCAGAAGTCAGACCATTGATATAAATCCCGTTTTCCATTTTCTTCAACTGGTGTACAAAATTCACTAGCAAAGACAGATGTGAAAACAGAGATTCAAAGTCAAACAAGGGATGGCGATTAATTTCGTTCGACTCACAGACCTATCCCTTCTAACAAACAATGGCGAGAAGATCCCGTACCTCCTCTGCAACAGACTCCTCTGCCCAATTTGTTCGAGAGGCAGACTGCCATATGAGGAAACGGTGAACGTAGTATCCGGGTTTAAGTAGTACCTCATATACCTGAGGGCTTAAAGGTTCAAAGCATACCGGACAATCTAGAACTTCTGGCTCGGTTATGGTCACTGAAACTTGTTACTGAACGTAGCACGGGGTAAAATAGTAGTTGAGTTGATGTAAAGTAGTTGATTCGATGTAAAAGTGCGACATGCATACGTCGCATATCATTCGCCTAATTGTTGCATAATTTATATTATAGAAGTTTTTTCGATGTAAAGTAGTTGAGTCGATTAAAATTGCGACATACATACGTCGCATATTATTCGCATGATTGGTACACAATTAATTATAATATTTATTTTCTGGAAAGTTCTTTGTCTGTGAATTAAATATAAATTTAAGACTACGTCGCATATCATTCGCAGAATTGTTGCATAATTAATTATAATATTTATTTATTTTTTGGGAAGTTCTTTGTCTGTAAATTAAATATAAATTTAAGACTACGTTGCATATCATTCACAGAATTGGTGCATAATTAATTATAATATTTATTTTTTTAAAAGTTCTGTCTGTGAAATAAATATAAATTTAAGACTACGTCGCATATCATTCGCAGAGTTGGTGCATAATTAATTATAATATTTATTTTTTAGAATTTTCTTTGTCTGTAAATTAAATATAAATTTAAGACTACGTCGCATATCATTCGCAGAATTGGCGCATAATTAATTATAATATTTATTTTTTGAAAATTTCTTTGTCTGTGAATTAAATATAAATTGAAGAATACTATTAGATGAATGAACCTGCGATTATTACTTCGAAACAATTCCGCATAAAAACTTCATAACAATCGTACTATAACGAATAAAATTTATTTTTTTTTTTTGTTTTTGTAAATTTTCTATTCTGCGACGTACAAAATTACGACATACAAACGTCGTATATTTTGGAGAGTTGGTAAATAATAATTTTTGGAAAATTCTTGTTCTTTGACTAAATTAATAAATTAAAAAAAAACTATTAGGTGAAAAAAAAGTGGTGCGTAACACTATTCGAAATGTGTTCGCATATTGATACATTTATGCGAGTTTTATATGGATATGCGATTCGTAACTATGCGAAAACATAATGCATAAGCGATAGTTATCTAAGCCTTTGGATATGCGAATCGTAAATTATGCGAAAATATGCCGCATAGTCGCATACTCATAAATGATGCAGTTTGGATATGCGATAATCTAATTACGCGACAGTTTTCCACATATCCTAAATGATGATGCGGTTGATCTGGCCTGGATATGCGATTAAAAAATATAAATTAATTTTATTTATTTTTTTTTCATTACGTTATGCGAGAACAATGCGATCATCGCACTTTGTTCACAGTTCTGCAAATTTCCTTTCAATAATATTTTCCCTTCGAATATTGTCGCTGATTTTGCTGGGAAAACTCTGTTCACGGACATTAATAGTTTAATTGTCCATGCAACATATTGTTTTGTTTTGACATATGAATCATGATTAAACAAACACGTACTTGACAGAAGAAAAAAAATATTTATTATTACTGCAGTCAGTCCAACAAAATAAGCCAAACAACTTTTGATTACATGTCCAATGGATTCTAAGGGTTGAGATCGATGACTTCCAAGTCTATCGCCGCTGCGTTGCGCTCGGTAAAAACCTCGTAACACTCACCATACCAAGGGAATCCTTCTGAACGGAAAAATGCCTGAGTGTCGGTCTCCTGTGTAATAAATTTAAATCTTTTTAGGTTATTATGGCCGCGTCACAAAAATGCATGCTTGAACAAACTAAAATAAAAATTCAGATGCAATTTACCTCCTCTCCCACATACACCCAGTACATGTGGTTAACCCTAGCGAAGCCTGTATCACGACACAAGAGGACGCCTGGAATCATCAGGAAAGCAGTAAATTCATCGAAATAATTTCTGAGTCGCTGAATCTTTTGCTGGACTTGAGAAATAGTAAACTCCCTCTTAAATGCATAACTCAGGCATTGGTTCAGGACTATTGAAATTTCTGTCCACAAGGAATTGAACACATGGCCTTTGTGTATGTCT